CACAGGCTGACAGAAATTAATCACACTTTCCTAGCACTACAGTGTTTTTGTCTGTTTACCCTTATACTTTTATAATTTTTGCTTTATGAATACTGTTGCCACATTATTTGTTACAAAGATATACATTACTGTTATGGTTTATTTAGCATTACAAAGTATCATTTTTGTCCAGTTTAATGATTTTTGGCCTAAATTCCACCTTCTGTGTTATTAAGATCATGCCCCCTGCTCGCTTTCTGTCTTTGCTTATATCTCTTCCTGCTCTTTAATTTTGACCTTTCCGTATGGCTTTGAGCAGTGTATTTTTATTCAACATAGAGTTGGATATTCTTTGTTATACAGTATGAATTTTTTTTGAAACAGATCATTCAAAACATTTACATTTATTGACATGACAGATTTGTTTGATCTTAGTTTGCTTATATTACTTTGTGTTATGTATTTAACAGTATTTTAAATATTTTGTTGACTGGTATGTTTCATTTGCTTTATTTTTTTGTGTATGATTCTGAATTTAGAAGAGTTTTTATTTCAGTTCTGGTGGTTGCCTTTATAAGTACAAGTTTATATTTATAACTAAAGCCATGTAATACCTTGCCCTTAGTACGCTATCTCTTTAAACAATATCTCATTTCCATTTGGCAATTCTCTTTCCTTTCTCCTCTGTTTGATCATCACCTGATTGTATTTAACAATATCTTTTTTGTGCTTACCTTTGTACTGTTAAATGTAATTATTTTTCTCTCCTTGATTTATTAACTGTAAAGAATACTCTTTAACTTCTTGCTATTATTAGAAGCAGCAATAAGTGAATGTTCTCTGCTCTCGTGTTCCTTCCTCTTTCTACTCCCAGTGTTTGCTGTGTGTATCTTGTCAACACTTTCAGAGCCTCTGCAGTTTTAGGGGATAAGATGCCTCGATCCTCCTTTTTATCCCTCTCTGCCGGCACTGTAGTTTAACAAGCCCTGATCTGCTGAGTCATTTGCCAGTCCTCCGCCCACTTTCCGTCTTCTGAGGTTGTTTTGACATCTTTTGTCCTCTGTGCTTTCCTCTCTCCTTCTCTTTGTTCTTGCATATTTATGCTGTTCTTATTCCCATGCTGTCATTTTACTGGCATTTGGAGAGGGTTGGGGTAAGATGTATTCGCGCTATCTTCCATATTTAACCAGACTCCCCAAATAACTCTTACTTTTGAGAGAAAATGCTTTGCATTAAAAGTTCAAAAGAAGGATAGAAATTTTACATGCTATATGATCTCAGTTATGGTATAAAAAGAGGGAAAAGAACAATAAGCTAAAATGCTAACAGTGATCTATGCGTAGTTATTATCTTCTGATTTATACTTTTTAGTATTATTCATTTTATGCAGTGGTCATTTATTTTTAAAATTACTTTGTTTTTAAGCTTTTTGTTATGATATCCAACATGCATGTGTTATGACCTCATTTAACCTTCATTATCTCCTTGAAGGCCTCTTCAATATAGTTACATGGAGGTTTAGGGCTTCAACATATGAATTTTAGGGGGACACAATTCGGTCCATAGCAGCTATGTGACAAATACTCACACCATGGAATATTATGAGCACCCCACAAGCCCTAGAGGTCACTACTATCCTAATTTTGGGTATTTTTTTCTTGCCCTTTTTATTTATATTTTTATCTTGTAAGTATACATCCCTAAACAAAATAGTTAAGTTTTGCTTGTTTCTGAATTTTGTATAAATGGAATCATACTTATGTAATGTTTTGTGTCTGGCATTTTTGTTCAATATTATATTCTCTTAAGACTCATCCTTCTTGTGTGGAGCTATAGTTTATTCATTTTCCTTGCTGTACATTATCCCATTTTAAGGATATAACTGAGATATTTAATGTACTCGAAAATTTATAGACATCTGGGTTGTTTCCAATTTTTTCCTTTTAGGGGCAATGTTCATAAACTTCCTTGTAGCTATATGCTGGTGTCCACAAGTGCATATTTCTGTTGAATGTATGTACAATGACACATAAGAGGATAATTAGAGGGTCACAGTCTCTGTGTCCTCACCTATATTTGGTAACACCCACTGCTTTACAAAAAGGTGGCACAAGTTCATATTCCCACCAGCAGTACATGAGTTTCTGTTGCTCCATGTCATTCTCAATACTTGGCATTGTCACAATTTAAAATTTTCCTCATCTGGTGAGTATACGATAATCCCTCAGTGTGATTTTAATTCATATTTCCTTGATCAAGAAAAAAGCTAAGAATATTTTCATATGTTTATTGATCATTTAGATTTCTACTTTTGTGAAATATCCATTTAAATTTTTTGCTCATTTTAAAATTGGTTGCTCTGACATATTTCTAACTGATTTGTAGGGGCTCATTATTCTGGGTATAAACACTTTTTAGGTCTATGTGTTGCAAATATCTTCCACTCAGGAGGCTTGCTTTTTCAGGCTCGTAAAGTTGTCTTTTGATGAACAGATATTCTTAATTCTGGTGTACTACAATGTGTCGAGTTTTTTCCTCTGTGGTTAGTTCTTCTGTGTCATATGTAATAAATCTTTCCCGAACCTGAAGTCGCGAAGATATTCTTCTCTGTGTGTGTGGGTGTGTGTTTTTCCTTCTAAAAGCTTTATGTCTTTGTCTTTCACCAAGAAATTTAGATCCTAATCCACCTAGACTTGATTCTTGTGTTTGGTGTAAAGTTGAGTCTTCATTGTAATTTTTCTTTTTTTGTATTTTACTACAATTCAAAAATGTTTTATTAAAAAGCGCAAATTTAAAAAAATGAACAGAAAAAACACTTTTCTCTTAAATCAAAAGTACAAACATTATAAAAACATTTTAGAAATAAATAGTATTGTGTGTTCATACTTTTCTCAAATCTATTTACTTTATTTGTTATATCATCTTCTTTATATACCATGTGATTCAATGTAATTTTTCTTTTGGGATTCTTTTTTTTTTTTAAGATTTTATTTTTCGTTTTTCTCCCCAAAGCCCCCCAGTACATAGTTGCATATTTTAGTTGTGGGTCCTTCTAGTTGTGGCATGTGGGATGCCACCTCAGCATGGCCTGATGAATGGTGCCATGTCTGTGCCCAGGATCTGAACCCATGACACCCTGGGCCACTGAAGCAGAGTGTGTCAACTTAATCACTCTGCCACGGGGCTGGCCCCATCTATTGGGATTCTTAATTCTTCAGCATCATTCATTGAAAACTTTCCTTTCCCCACTGTCCCACAGAACCACCTGTGCCACAAATTCAATGTCTGTATGTGCGTTGGCCTGTTTATGGGCCACCTATTCTGTTCCGCTCTTCTGACTAATCTTACTCCAATGGCGTGCAGTTTCTATTTAGAGCTTTGTAGTAAATCTTGATATTCGGTAGAGTGAGTTCTCTTCTCCCACCTTACTTTTCATCCTCAAAAATGTCTTGGCTATAATTTGCTCTTTGAATTTTCATATAAATCTTAGAATCAGTTTGTCAAGTAATTAAAAAAGGGCCTGTTGGGATTTTGATTGGGATCACATTAAATTTATTACTTTTTTGGGGAGTCTTACAATATTGTGACTTTGAATCCAGGGATATAATATATAGCTCCATTTATTGGATTGTCTGTAATATTACTCAATATTGTTTATAATTTTCTTTGTAAAGATCTTATTCATATTTTGATAATCTTATGTCTAGATATTTGCTATTTTAAAATGACAGTGTAAATGGTATTTTTAAAAATTGCTTTATTTTCTGCTTATTGTGAGTATATATGTATATATACATAATTGATTTATGTATATTAATTTGGACCCAGCTACCTTGCTATACTCTCTTATCAATTCTGATAGCTTATCTCTAGATTATATCAGCTATTTTATGCATACAATCATATTACCTGTAAATCATGACGTCTTTGGTACTTCTTTTTTCTTCTTACACCTTTTATTTCTTTTTCTTGCCTTACTACACTGGCTAGGATCTCCTTTACGAAGCTGAATAGAACTGATGAAACAGACATCTTTGCTTTTTTTTCTTCTTATCTCAAAGAGAAAGCCTGCCATGTTTCACAAGTAAGTACGAAGTTTGCTACTTTCTTTAAGGTGGTTTCCCTTTATCAGAGTACAGCAATTCCCTTCTGTTACTTCTTCTAAGAGTTTTTAATCATGAACAGGTATTAAACTTTATCAAATGATTTTTCAGCATCAAGTTGGCCGTATGATTTTTAGTCTTTAATTTATTAATAGAAATGAAACATACTTTCTATGGTGCATGTATTAATGTTATAGCCAGCAAAAGAAATTGAAAAATTGAAAAAAGAAAAAGCTCTACAGAGCTCTTGTTGTTACACTGAAGGTGTGTCAGGCTTGTGCTGGGGGGAAACCGCTTCCACACGTGTTGGTGCAGATGTTTTTAGAGAGGCCCCACAATCTGAAACTACAGAGATTCCATCTGTTAACCAAGGAGATAGAATAATCTCAGAAATATTAAGGTCACTTTGAAGTATACGGGCCATGACAACTTAAACAGCTTCATTCATGGGTTATTTTCTGAATATGTTCCAGAACCATTTGTTCTCAATTCTGTTTCAGTTTTGCTCCTGCCTCTCTTCCCTAAACATCAGTCATGTGTGCGCCTAGTAGGTGAATGTGTGTGTGGCAGGAGGGGCTCATCTTCCCAGGCCACCCCAGACCAATGAAATCAGACCCTCTGGGACTGAGACCCAAGCATCAATACTTAAAAAAATCTCCCCAGGGGGATTCCAATGCACAACCAAGGTTGAGAACCACTAATCTATAGCTCTTCAAAGCTGCAAATAATATATATGTTTATGAAACAAAGTCCCCAGAGAAGAAGATATCTAACCATTACAAAGTCAGATAGACAGTAGGATTCCATATTACCCAGACGAGACCCAGGAGGATAAATAAAAGAAAAAAGCCACCAAGTAAGGAAAGGGAAGAAGAGGGCAAAAAGAGAAGGCACAAAAATGACAGCAAATCTACTCACTCGAGTCTCTCTGGAAATTCAGTTTGGGTCATGAACACACAATTGATCACAATCGTGACCATGATAAATAAACTGAACCACCTGAGAAGGCCTGTGTTAAGGAAAAGCTAAGAGTCACCATGTTTCCTTGATGTCATCTATGATCACCTTGACGCTGAATGATTAAATTCGTAACTCTCAGCTAGGATCAGCTTTATGGTCTTGACACACAATAACCACTAACATTTGCCGAGTGCCTCCCCTGGGCTGAGTACTTCATCCACATTATTTCTAATGCAACCAACCTGCAGGTGGATATTATTATCCACATCTTGAAGCTAAGACAACAGGCTGACAAAGCTTAAATAATTTTTCCAAGGTCATACAGCTAGTCCACCACAGTGCTGAGATGTGAACTCAGATCGTCTGATAATAGAACCCTGAGTAAGACGGAAGGAAACAGAATCCGTTTTCCAAAATGTCCTTCTGACCAGAGGCTTTCATTTCATTATACAATATGGCCTGACATTTCATCCAGCAAATATCTCTTTTATCCTAAAAGACAGAATACTCCTAGGAGTTACAGATGAAGAGGGAGCTATCAGCTTTCGCGGGCATTCATTGAGTCAGATTGTTTTCCTAACTTAGCTGAGATCAGTCACACTGAGGAAATGGACTTCCGGCCAGGAATGGTGGAGGCAACACAGGGAAGTGAAGTACTGGCTCAAAAAGAAAATTCCAAATAGGATTAGGCTGCAGTGGAGAACTCTGAACAGCCAGAGAGGAGAATCTTGGAGGAGAGATTGGGCAAAGGGATTACCAGAAGGGGAAAGAGACATTGAAAAGGAAGGTGAGTGGAAGGAGGTAAAGAGATAGGAAGAAATGTTGGTGGGGAAAATCCAAAGACAAATTTCTTCCATTAGACATTTTTCTCAGGACTATCTGGGAAATTACTTAACAATTACTTCCTAAAGAAAAACGAAGCCTGAAGATAAACTTGACCTATAGAGAGTGTAAACCACTCATCTTTCATAATTTCAATTCGAGCCGAAGTATTTAAATCTATTTTAGTTTTCTCTAAATGCCTTTAATGTGCCCTGTTTTACAGTTACTTAGGAACACATCTATTTTGAAAAGAGAAATTCTACTAATTAAACCACATTTTCCGATTGACTTGCAATTAAATTAAGAAATTTGTTCACATGGGGGGAAAATGTTAACCCAAGGATTAAATTAAAATCATATCTCCAACTCCACAAACCTTTAAAAGTAATATGATATATTATGTATAATATTACTTGTGAAAACATTCATAGCAAATTTGATTAGAATTATAATTTTGGTGAAATGTTAATAATAAGACATTGAAAATTCCATACCTTGAAGAATATCTTTGGGGCTGGAGCTACCAAGTTCATGAGATTCAAATATATAAATGCAGACTTTTGTGAGAAGAAGACCCTCAACAGCTTTTCTGTCCAGCGGGAACTTGAACAGGCAATTATTTACTCATCAAATCTCAAGACGAAAAGAATATTCACTGGTCACTTGATTCTTTAAAGGAATTTTATTTCTAATTAGCTGTTTCTGACTTATCTAGATATTGTTCAACTTGGAGGCACAGAGAGGAATTTGTGTATTTGCTGTTTTTCTTTATTTGCAATTTTATGTAATTGTGTATACACGTATATTTTTAAAACACCCAAGTAGAGATGACATACTGAGAGAATAAGTTACCCTAATTCATTTCCATTAACTGTCTACTCCCTTACTGCTGACACTGCTCTAAGCAGGATACAGGCTTGACCTCCTAACTGGCTTTGTGACCTTGGACAATTTATTGGATGCCTCTGAGCGTCAGTTTCATCATCTGTAAAGTGGGAATGCTAATCCCTTCTTCAAGGGTTTCTGTACCTATGACACTGTTGATGCTCAGGAGGTAGTCAGCAAATGGTTGCCCACTATTATCATTAAATATCCTTCTATAGAATCAGAAAATCCAAGACTGAAATAAGAAAATAGAATTCCAACTGGTTGGCCATAAAGATAAAACATGTAAAGAGAAAATGTAGTGCAACTACAACAAGCATTTCATGTTGAGATGACCCAGTGGCAGGGCTACAGCTCACTGAGTGCTGTCCAGCTATCCGATAAGCTGCCCCAGTGTCGGGGGAGAGGGCTCCTTTTACTGGAGCCTCCTAGGGAGAGGCTGGCTCCCGTCTGCCAGGCAGCTGAGGCAAGGCTGTTCTTGCAAATCAACCTCCTGGAAGCCAGGGCTGAATTTGTCATTAGGAATTTCCAGTTTGGACAGTCATCAAGGAAGATCCTTGGAAACCAAGCCAAAGTCTCTTTTTTTGTCCTACTTTGGCTTGCCTTGAAAGAAAACAAAAACAAAAACTGAAGGCAGCTTCTGAAGCTACCTAAAGCAACTAATATAATACAGACATTTGACCAATGTGTCTCTAATCATTACTACATTCCCCAACGATGTGAGCCTCGGACTGTTGACATTTTTAACCTGCTAGTAGTTTTGGGGTAACTTGTGACATTGGCAGTGCGCCATGACCGATGTGATCCTGTTGGGACAACCTATGCTCTGCCCATCAAGGTCTGTTTTCTTTGTCCTCTGGGAGATGCTGCTCTTTTGCCAAATAAGCAGCCACTCCCCAGGATGGCTATGGCACAGAGTAACAACCCATACCTGTCTCATCTGCCCAAAGAAGACTTGGGGCCCCTTTACCGGTTATGATGTTTTGGGAAGAGCAGGCCACATATGGTAAGAATGTGCCTGAGTGCTTCAGCAAAGCTCCCCTCATAAAGAGGACATTTTTCAAGTTATGCATGCACAGGTGTTTCCAGTCTAGTCTAGATGAACCTAAACCCACTGTGGGTTGCATGAACACCTTTTCTGTCTTGGGACTGTTTTGGGATGTTGGCCACATTAAAACCAAAAACACTTTTTTCAATTTAGTGATCCCTTTTTTCAGGATTCAGTTGGAGGAAGGCTCTACCACTAACCTATGAAGAAGGCACTGGACACATGGGCAAGGCTTGATTCTCACATGTGGAAGAAGCAACCGTGCAAAGGATATGAGTGGACAGACACTTTGATGGCTGTTCTTCTGATCAGGTTGAAAGGACTGAATAACCACAGGGCCCGAGTGGCACTAAACCGGGAAATGGTCCTCCCTTTGTTCAGCACCATAAATGTCTAAAACAAAACAAAAGAGAAGGTGGACCTCCAGTGAGAAACACACATCCTCACACAACCTTGTTTTTGAGCGTGAGTGGTATCATCTCAGGTCAATAAGAGCCAAATGGACCGGCAGAGAGTTAGGGAGGATCATATCCTCACCCTCCTAGCAAGACCCCAGGGTCTGTGGCTGACTGTGCATCCAGATGAGCCCACTGAGAGTGCCCGATGGACAGGCAGCTGACCCTAGGGCTGGTAAGATGCATCATGCCCAGGGTGAGGATTCTGGTAGCAGGAGGATGGAGTTCTGGTTGTATGGATTCCTCTTCTGATTAGTGGACCATCCCCGGCTCTGTAATGTTCCTTCTGCTCTTCACCTCCTGGTCTCCCCTTTTAAACCCTCTACTGGTTCCTCCTGGGAGGGTGAGAGTTTTGTCAGGCGAGAGGAGGGAGAAGGACGTTGCTGTGCTTTTTATTTTCTCTAAAAACCGTATTTCAGATGGCTGATTCCTGCCCCTCCCAACTCCCAGACATGCACACACCGTTTCTTTGGCTGTGAGAACATCTAAGATGCAATACCAACAGGGTAATTGTCACAAAACAGCTCTTGTTTAGACTAGTGGTCCTCAAACTTTTAAATTTCAGGACCCTTTTATACTTTCAAAAATTATTGAGGACCCCAAAAAGCTTTGGTTAATGTTCATACCCTTTTGCTTATACCATATGTGTGTGTTTGCATGTGCATGTGTGTATATTTACATATGTATATATAATATTAGAAATTTAAAACATAGGAGATTTTAAAACAAGAATATACAAGCATACCTTTTAGTAGCTGTTAGACTGAGGATGTCATCCCCCATCAATAGCCTCTACATTCACTATTGTATGTTCACAAAAGAGTATGAGTGAAAAAGACAAATGACATCTAAGTATTGCTATAAAATACTTTTGACCTCTTGAACCCAGTGAAAGGATTTTGGGAACCCTGGGGCTTCCAAGATCGTACTTTGAGGACCACTAGTTTAAATCATCCTGATTTCTGTTCTTCTGATCCCCTTCTCTTCTGTCTACCTCCCACCCTGACACCAAGATCTCTGCTCTCCACTTGCAAAGAGAGCCCACACCTCTGGACATCCTAGGCCAGAGCTCATCCAAGGGAACAGCACACTTCCTCTGAAAACTCCACACCAGTTGTCACTGCTTTGGAGGATTTAGGTTTAATTAGCCTCTACCATAAATACTATAAAGATTCAAACAGAGCGTCAAGGAGGTGAGTTAGAGATATTTTTCATTAATGAGTCTAGCTGACAACCACATCACCCAGGGTGCAGGGGGACTCCCTGGGCTGGGTGGGATAGAGGTTTCCTCTCTCAGAACTGAGAAAAGCTCTTCCAGCCAGTAGCCCTTACCCGGTGTGTGCTGTAGAAGGGGTCCAGATCCTCCAGCGGCTCCCCAACCAGCTCTGGCGGGAGCTCACCATAGAACTTGGGCAGCTTGTTGCAGGCTTTCAAGTCTAGCTGGGGCCGAGGCTTCTCTTCTGGGTCCTTCTGCTCCCTGTGCTTATCCTTGGCTTTCTCTGCTGCCTGCTTGGCAGCAATTCGCTTTTCAGTCTCCGCCAGGGACTCCGGAGTGAATCGACGGAAGTTGTTAGTTCCCAGGGACCCAAAGGGGAATTCCATCTTCTCATTCTTCTTCAAGGAGAATTTATACTTTTATGACAATGGACATAACCACAGAGAGGTAACAGCCTGCCCACTGGCCCTCTCCATCCCGTCCCTCCCACCTTTCTAGAAGAGCTCCAGCACCCCCCTCTCCAGTTCCTTCCTTGACTCAAGCTGAGCTCCCCCAAGACCCCACTGCTCCTCAGCACTTTTAGGGGAGGCTGTTTATTCCATCCTACTGCAGGTACTTCAGGCTAGGGTGTGTCTATGCTCTCCATGAGCTTCTAAGTCATTTCTCCTTTGTCTTTTTGTAACACCACCATCTCCACCACCAGATTTAGTCATACTGCCCTCTTCCCTCTTTCCCATGACCACTGAACAACAGGCGCTCTCCTGCATCCATCAAAGACTTCAGCTCATGTCCTACTTTATCTTGAGTCTCATCCTACTTTCTGACCACAACCTTTTATTTATTGACATTTTCAACATTTCTTCCCCTCTCTGAGCTTCATTTGGACCCCCAGGCTGCTTTCTCTTTGTCCATGGCTGAACACTTCTCTCCATATTAAGATCAGATCTTGTGGTCTGCCATTTTGACCGCTCTCTCATCCTGATCCTAAATTCCAAGTCTAAGTCAATCTAGATGAGTCTAATTCTGGTTTCTCTGAATCTGGAATGCTGAGGGGTGATGGAGAACATCAATGCCTCTTGGGAACCATGTGGTTTCCGCAGGCAGCAGTTTATTCTAGTCTGATTGTTCACATACCCTTCATCTTTTCTGGCTATTCTCTATTTCCCTTTGCAGTAAGACAGTGACCATGTTTCCTACTTCATGAAGAAAACAGTATTCTTTCAATTGCATACCCCCAAATCTCCAACCTACCTGCATCTACGCCCTCCATCCTTCCCTCCCTCCTATCACAACAGGGAGGATATCTTCCTTCGTCTTGGTTAAGGCCAAGCTTTTCCTTCTGCTTTGGATCTTAATGCCTCACTACCTCATTTCTCTCTCCCTACTTGTCTACTGGCTCCTTTCTATCCGCATTTAGGGATTCTCAAGTCTCCTTCAACTTTAAAAACTTTACTTGATACGCAGGTCATCCAGATCTTCCTCTCTCCTCACATTCTCTGCTGAGTTTCATAAAGGACTCACTTCCACTCACTGTCTCTGGTCACTCTTCAGTCCTAGCAGCTGGGCTTCTGTGTCCACTACCTCACCAAAATGCCTCCTTGCAAGGACACCATAAATCTTCTTATGGCTAAATTCAGAGGAACCTTTTCAGTTATTATCTTGATGGTTCTAATGGCCATTTTGATCACTCCCTCCTTGAAACATGGTCTCTCCTCAACTGCTGTGGCATATTCTCTTGGTTTTCCTAAGTTTCTGTCTGCACCTTCTCAATCTGTTCTTCCTCAGTTTCTCCCATACATGATTGTGAATCTTGGGGCTCTATGTTGTGCTTTTTAAATTTTTGAGTAATGACAATAGTAATAACATCAACAGCACTGATAACACTAGCTTTTACAGAGATTCCACTGTGTTCCAGACTCTCGACTAAGCAATCTGCACACATTATAACGTTAACCATCACTGTACCCTACGAGGTATTATCTCTAATATTTAGATGAGAAACCAGGGTGGCAAGGTTAACTTTTCCAAGATCACATTACTAATAAGTGGCAGGACAGGTACCCACTCCTGGTTCTGTCTGATACAGTCTCCTCAGAGCATCTCATCTATTCCTGTGGTTTCAATTCTCATCTATATGTAGATTACTCTTGAGTATTTATCTCCAGATCTCACTATGTCCTTGGGGCTCCGACCCTAATTTGGCGTCTCCACTTGAATGTCTAATGGGCACTTCAAACTCAACATGCCCCAAACTGAACTCACTATCATCTCTCCACCCCTTTCTAATACCTGCCTGTCCTCTAAGGCTCTCTCCCTCTGTGAATGGGCCCAAAGAGCCTATTTCTGTGCCTGCCCAAAGCTTGAGTATCATAGTTATGTCCTTTCTATTTCATGCCCACATCCAATCAGACATTCAGTGCTATTGATTCCATCTCCTTAGTATCTTCTCTCCATGTCTGTTTAACCTCGCCTTCATACCAGTAGTCCAGTCTCTGTCATCTCACTGACTTCGTATTTGTCCTTTTGCTTTCCCTTAAGTCCTTTCTAACCTATCCCCCAACTATAACCAAATGATGTTTCTAAAATGCAAATCTGGTTACATTATATCCTTACTTAAAATCCTTCTAAAGTGCCCCACAGCACTCAAGACAACCCAAACTGTGTGCTTACCTCTTCAGTACTGTCATTGCCAGCCATATCATTTTTATTAGTTTCCCCTTGAATATGACCCATTCTTTTTCATCTTAAGGCATTTTCAGGTCCAATTTCCTTTGCCTGAAATTATTGTCTCACCTTGCTTTGCCTGACTAACCCCTTCTCATTCTTTAAATCCTCCATTTCTGACCCTATGTGAAGTCTGTGTTAGGATTATAATTTCATGCTCCCATAATTCACTGCATTTCCCCCCATAAACCTCTGATTTGTACCTGCTATTTGCTTCTCTATTTCTCTCACTAGATTGTAAGCTCAGGGAGAGCCGGGAACACATCTGTCCTGTTCAGTGTTGATTCTCCAGGCGCTGATACAGTGCCTGCCTGGCATTTAGTAGACACTTAATAGATATTTGTCAAATGAATAGTGGTAACTGCAAAGTTTTCAGAAACTGAAAAACTAAAGAACATTTTGTCAGGAAAAGCGCAGCAAAAATCACAAATCCAATCGTAGAAATATAAGGAACCAAAGAGATTATTGAGTCTAATGACTTTTTTAGACTAGTACACCCCAAAGTCGAGCAGATGGTGGCAGGGACAGCTATTGAATCCGTTACTGCTATGCCAGAGACTCGGCTTGCTGTCACCAGTTCTCCTGTGTACTGTGGTCCACAGAGAAGCCCTCACCCCTCTGATACCACCCCTGTTCCTAATGCCCTCCATGACTTTCTCCTGGAAACTTACTCTGCATCCTTCCTATTTCTCTGCCTTCTGACCATTTGTCCTTGGTCTATCTCTTAGGGAACTTTTCAAAGTTTACCTAGTTTACAGGATTAAACATCTGTCTTCTATCTCAGAACTTGTATATCCTGTGTGCCCATGTCCTGATTAAATGATGTTTTTATGCAATGGTCGCTCAAACACTGTTGACTTGATTGAATCCAATCAGTGTCTTTAATTCTTTCCTTCTGAGGAACAAGAGCTAAGTTAACTTTCTCTTCTTTGTCCAGAGGAGAAGAGCTGCTCATATGTTGGAATCAAATTTGAGTCCCAGGACTCAGTTACAGAGGAACAACACAAGGACTCCCTGTGACTGGAATGCAATGTTTAGAACTGAGCATAGGACTAAACCAGAATTATAGGTGCTGTAACTGGAGCTTGAAGTCAAAGCTGGCTCAGCCACAAGGCTGACTTGACGCCAAGTGCCCATGATAATTCTGCTGGGCCACCATAAATCCCTTTGGCCAAGGACATGTTTGTTCTCAGAGCTGGGGGGGGGGGGGGGGGGGGGGGGGGAGACTATGCTCACAGGTGGGAATTTGTAGTGATGTAGTGTAGGTACAAGGGCCCAGTCCTTCTCCCAAGACTTTCAAACCAGGAGAGAGCTCTGGCATTTGGTCCCTTGATCAAAGTGGTCTCTCTCTTTCCATCTATTGCCCGGTGATTTTACGTGGCCCCCTGAGATAAACATTCGGGTGCAAGTAGTTTATTTGAGAGCTAATTTCAGGAAACTCAGAGAAGATGAAAAAGTAAGATAGAAAGAAGAAAGCCAATAGTATTTTTATGATCAGATTACTCTTGTGGGCAACCAGGGCTCAGAATTGTTTCACTGAAGGATAAGGATACTGAGGTTTTATCTAGCAGTCCTGCCCCTCAGCAGTTGAGAGTGACTCCAAGAATGCTAACTCTATAGAATTTACAGCAGTAACCAGAGAGAGATGCAGGAAGCCAACATATAAGGAAAGTGTCTGCAGGTAAACTCTGGGCCCCTGGGGGATATGGGCAAGATGCAGATAGCGACTGCTGCTACACTCCTGGTCTGTTGTGCAGCTGCTTACAGACCTAACTGGGAATCCTTATTTCTGGGTCCATTTGAACGGAGTGAGGAAGGCGTGTCCCTTGTGAAGCAATCATCTTGGACCTATGTGTTGCAGGATTAGCCTGGGCCTAGGATTCACTTCTTGGATTGATGGCTGGGGAGGAGCTGATACAAGAAACTTCTATTCTCCCTCATCTCCAAGCTCAGCCTTGGCTTTTAAATAGTTCTCTTGAGTATTTTGCAGTTATATTCCCTCCAGCCCAGTAGCTGTCCCTGCTAAGCAAGGCTCCCTGTTTGGTGGACATGGAGCTCTCTCAAGATGAGCCAACAGGCCTATTTGGTTCCCTCTGCCCTCTTAATGTCAAGTATGAGAGGACCCTTCTCTATTGCTCCTCTAAAGAGCCCATGTCATCCAGAGCCTGCAGGACTTTCTGCGGGAAGGTTAAGCTCCAGGAATACTAACCTCCATGATGGACAGAGGAGATTAGCGACAGGGCCAGTACTTTCTTCTCTGTAGTGAGGTCTCTCTCTGCCTCCAGCTCCCATGAGCCAGCCCCAGCCCTGCAGAAACTTCTCTCACCACAGCCCCCATCATTCTTACTGTATGATCAGTCATAGGGGTCTGGGCTCAAAGCCTTCAGAGAGGACTTCTCTAACCCTGCATTTCTACATTCCACAGAACTTTAGTGCACTGTAAACAGGTGGTCTGTGGAAAAAAACAATGCTAGCAGAATTTCTCCCATTAAAATGCATCTGTTAAAAAGTATGGAAGATGGTAATATGTTTTATTGTTCTTTTTATCATGTAATGAAATGCTTTTAAGAAGTGACAGCCATTCCTGGATGTGACAGGAAGATAGGGAAGGCCCAGCTCCTTGAGCACATGGCTGCACTTGCTAACTGAGAATGTGCTGCCT